AGGATGGTATTTGAACTCTTTTTAGTTCTACTTCCAGTGACTCCTCTTTAAGACCATCTATCCTTCTTATCATATCCTGCATTTTGCTCTCAAACTTTTCTTCAATTTCTTCAAATTCGAGATCTACCTCTTCCATTCCATGCACCGTTGAGAGCTCGAGATGCAATTTCCTAATTTCATCCATATGCTTCTCCCACGATGACTTCATGTACTCCAAAGCATATTTTGATAGTCCAGCTAAATCGCATTCAACGGCATCGGCGAGTTTGTTTACTTTTTTCCTGAATTGGTAGATGATTGCGCTTACTTTTATATTCGCCTGATTGCCCATTGGTGATGATTCTATATGGGTTTGTCTTTCTTCCTCATTTTCTCTTTTATTCTTCTCGAACATCAACATAAATTGTTGCATTTGTTGTTGCATCTGTTGTTGCATTTCCTCTTGGAAGGCCTTTAACTGTTGATCGAGCATTAGCCCATGCACTTCGGGCTCTGCTTCTTTTATTACCCTTTGCGGTTCTCGCTCGACCTCTTCTTCCAAACTCGCTAGGAGTTCCTTTGCTTTTCCATAGTTCAAGTTGATGAGATCCCAAACATTTTCTTTGAAATAGGGATCAGTGTTTTCGCCATGCACTCTCAGCATTTCGTGGTTCGTAGTGGCTTCCTTCATTTTGCTTTCCAGGGATCGTAGTGTGTCACCCATGGCTGCTTTCCGAACCATGCCTGCTTGCAGTTTTTCCTTAATCCCAATTACTTCTTTAAGGAGTAGGCTTTGGAGCTTATACAAGTTATGTCTCGACGCCATTTTTCCTTGTTTTGTGAAGCAAGTAAAATTTGTAGTTTTAGCTTCTTTTCTTTTAATGCCCCTGTGGCTTTTTTCAAAATTATTCTGTTTTATTTTTTTTGCTTTTGTTGCCCCTATGGCTTTTTTTGATTTTTTCTTTGCCCCTATGGCTTTTTTTGTTTTTTCTTTGCCCCTATGGCTTTTTTTTTTTTGTTTTTTATTTGCCCCTATGGCTTTTTTTTGTTTTGCCCCTATGGCTTTTTTTTTGTTTTTTATTTGCCCCTATGGCTTTTTTTGTTTTGCCCCTATGGCTTTTTTTTTCTGTTTTGTTTTTTTTTTACAAAAATATAATTCTCTTTTTTTTTTTGAAATATATTTTTGTGGCCGCTGGTTTTTTTTTTGTCGAAGGACCAATGTTAGCGGGAGAATCAAATTCTAGAACTTGTTTGTTCGTTTGTCAGTTTAATTCTAATTTTATTGAACAAAATGTATTACTTAAGTGCTAGTACACAACAGAAATCTTAGGGGGGTTTAATCTTATGCATCTACTTAAGGCTACAAACACTTGACATTTCTAATTCTATGCATAGGCCTAATGCAACACACAATTGCTGTGATCTATATTTACTCCCCAGCTGAGCGCATGTTTATGGGAGAATATTCTTTATTATCAATGCGTCTCCAGCAGCATGAAGTGTTATCATCCCTTATGCTCTTATCTTTCATGCACACACATTTACAAGTACTCTAGAATGTTGGGTTAAAATTACATAAACATTTTATAGCCTAAATCACTTAACGATCTAATTTATTGCAGCAGTCTTTCATGTTCATAGTTTTATGAACAGGCGCATTGCGGCAATCATGTGATCCCGCCTTAAGACAGAAAATTATCTGTGCAGGTCCACGTCTTCGTGTAGCCCCCATATAACGGTACCCCCCGATTTTCGGTATTTTTTTTATTTATTTATTTATTTATTCAATTTCCATTGTATAATACCAAAGCCTTCAAGGCCAATAAATAGTATTAACAATATAAAATATTCCTGAGTAAACTTAAAACTAATAACAATATCCATAACAAAATCTCATATATAATTGGCTCCCCAGCCATAACTACAAAAAATACTAAAAAAGGACAATATGCATCTATATACCATAAGCAACAATACAAAAAATATATGCCACCGTCATCAAAGAATTTAATAATAAAAGCTCACAAAAAAGGCACAATAGAAAATTTTTCAAAAGATAATTAAACAAAAAAAAGTACAGTAATATTACAACCACGTCTCCCTTCAACGAAGTAATCTCAAATGATTCAACAGTTTTAAGCGAAACGCATTGTTGGACTGTGAAAAAATTCTAAGTTCAACAGGCAAATAATTCCATATTCTAGCAACACGTATCACAAAGGACTTCTCAAAAGTAGTGTTAAATATCCTAGGTATAAAAATCTGAGTTGTCCTAGAAGACATATTAAAGCTAAACATATTATTTAGCAAAACAGGTACACCATTTTTCACAATCTTATAAAATGCACTTAAAATCCTACTGCAAACATATCGTTCAAAATCAACGCCCAAAAAACTCACAACATAACTCGAAATGTGCTCACGCCTTTTCACACCAAAGACGAATCGTACAATAGAGTTAACAATACGTCGCAACCTACAGGAAACACGATCAATCGTACCAGAAAATGTCTCTAAACCATAATTAACATGAGGCATAAGAAGTGCTGTAGCCAATCGTCTTCTAACCCACTGAGGAACATACATATTAGTTAAGTAGAGCTTGCGAATAATTCCAAAGACTTTACGTTGAACAGTGTCAACATGAGATTCAAATGAAAGCTTGTCATCAACCAAAATACCTAAAATTCTATGCTTGCTAACAAACACTACTGGATTCCGATCCAAAGTAATGTTAAGATCATACACACGACTTCCAAACATCATTGCTCTTGTTTTAAGAGTGTTTATTGTTAATGAATTGTCTGAAGACCACTGATTAAACCTAGCAAGGCAATTATTTATTCTGCTCTCAAAGGCAGCTGGGGAAGACGTATCGTCCTTCAAAATAAGATACACATCACCCGCAAATAAAACCGGCGTACAACTTAATCCACTAAAACACTCAGCAAGACTATTCACATAGAGGACAAACAGCAACGGACCCAGTACCGAACCCTGTGGCACACCACAAGTCAGAGAAAGTATTTCAGAAGATATTCCGTTATAAGAGACAAATTGCGATCTATCACTCAAATAAGACATTATAAGCTTACAAGCAGTATCAGAAAAATTAAATTCATTCTTAAGCTTTCTAATCAACATAGGATGTGTATAAGTTCGATACGTTCCACCACAACTTTCCAATGCTCGATCAATCACGGATGCTGATTGGCGCACAGGCATCTCCTCTACAACTCCCCTGGCGGAGACCGTAGTGAGCGGATCGTCGCTGGGCATTGGTTGTTGTCGGTAGGCTCACCTTGCTCTCATTGGAAGTAGTTGTAGTTGTAATTGTAGACAGACATGGGACCCTCAGCGGTCACTCAGAACCATTGCGTTCACTTGTCTTTAGTCTTTGAAGCGAAACCCATCACGGCCACTGTCGCCAACACCATATTGAAAAGAGGTAACTTTGTTGTTTGAAAAGAAAGAATCACCAATAAAACCATGAATTTATATTGAATTACACTAATTATATTTCTGTGTTTCATTTCTTGCATTTGTCTTTCTTTTTATCCTACACCACACACGCGTATCACCCGCACCTCACCAAACCTCTCACAACACATCACCTCACATCTCTCACCTACAAATCTCACATCATAATAACTCTGGGGAGTTTTGTTGTTGCTACCGCTCTCGAAGCCTTTCCCCCCACTCCCCTGAGTTAAACATTTGGTCGTATCGAGCCGGATTCGAGCCAAAATTTGTTGTCGTTTGTTTGGATGAAGAAATCACTGGATCCCTCTCATCATCACCAAAATATTTGACTAAGAAACAGGTACGTAAATTCAGTTTTCCATTTGAAGTGAGCTACCCGCGACGATTGTTCTACGCGTGTATTTGTTGCATTCAATATACTGTCCACTCTCGTCTTTGTACAAGAAAAAAAAATATTATTTGTACTGAACATCCAACGCCGCGGTGATCATACATTTGCCTTTCGTTTGAAAACAAGTCAGTTGTCGACTCGTATTAACACTTTTTGTGTTAATCAAGTGCATTTCCCTACACCAAGTAGCTTTATTGTTGTGAAAATACATGTAATTAGCTTCTCTTGTACTGATCAACACCAAATATTTGGTGTTGTTCTATTCTATTTCGTTTTGTAATCTCTTTGTTACGGACAGAGTTTTCTCAACAACCTCCTTCCATCGAGTTGTTGATGTTGTTTTATTCCCCCTCGTTCTTTCTCTATTCCCTCAATTTAGTTGGAGAAGAATTTTGCATCATCGCTTTGTCCATAACATAAATACATATTACACATTTGGTCGCTGTTGTTATCCCCCTTCACGTTTCAAAGGTAGAGCCCTTTAACGAGCAACACTCATTTGCAAAAACAACATTCTTGCAATAACCGACTATCTCACTGTCGGTTGGTTATTTTGTCGTGGTCGCCACCACACATTCACTGTTGTTGCAATTCCTTCTTCATTTGTTTTTTGAAAAATTGATCAGTTCTCACTTGAGAATTTACATTGCCAAAATTGCAACAACAATACTCCAACATTCCACGCGCCCTTTTTAAGCGTCGCCCGCTAGCAACATGAACTAGTTCGGCATCGGAAACTCGTCGATTCTCAGAGTTACAGTAACTAGTTCCACTTAAGACCCCTCACAGTGCAAACAACTGTAAACTTTAACATGGGGATGTCATACGAGGTAACCAATTGGCTCCCTTTGCATTACCTGTAGATGGTACTTTACTAGTTCCAGGTTTACAGTCATATACCAGTGACAAAAGACTAACCCTTACCAAGTTCCAAGTACACAGCCACAGACTAGTGTCAGCAGACTACCTTTTAACTAGTTCTATGTATACAGTTATGTACTAGTGTCATTTGACTATCCCTTATCTAGCATAAGCAGACCAATTTTAAACTGGTTTCCCATGAACTAGTTCAGTACCAATTATTGTTAGTGAAATTCTAATTTTTAGTTTTAATTAATTTTTTTATTGCAAACAAGTGAATACAAATATACCTTACTCTATAAAACTTGAACAAAAATAAATTAAATTTAATATTTATAAAAGCACTTGTATTGCTTTTCGCAGTTGTGTTTCAGGGGTGTCCGAATATTCTGTAACTGGTATTGAATGTGCAAAAAATAATGTTTAATGTATGAAAATGTAGAATATAAAAATAATGTTTATATACACCTTACCTAAAATAACGCTGTATATATTACTTAGGGACTTCAAACTTTTTTCCATGGTTTCCCTCAATATTATACTCGTAGTAATATTTGAACCGATAACATTTTTAAACATTTCGATATTTCCTCTCCTTTTATAATTGATGCTATAATCTTTACCTAAAAATTAACAAAAATTGTATATAATCTATGTTTGTTCAGTAATACATTTAAAAAATACTTACATATATGTATTGATTCTCAATATTTTTCATAAGTGATGGGGAACCTATTCGATAATGGTATCTCATCACTTTGAGATCGTAGCACCATCATCTTCAACTCAGCTAAAGCATCAGCTAAAATTTTGATTTGACCTATAGAGAAAACAAACAAATTAATAATTTGTAACAATTCTGAGAAGAATGCTATAATTTTACCTTGAATTACTTTTATTATTATTTTATTACTATTATTACTTATACTACTCATTCTTACCTTTTTATTTGTTATTTTCAACACTTTATAACTTATTTGCACAGAAAAATGATACTTCACTTCACAACGATCAGAATAAGAATGTTTTTTCCAAACAAAACGCACTTGCATTCCTCAAGAATAACGGTGCATTGTTTTTTTTATTGGTAATCTAAAAAAAACTATAAGTGGTTCTTGTTCGTAGAGATATCATTCAAATGTTCGTTTGGTTTTTTCGTGGTGGTTTTTATTTATGCACAACTGTCGCTTCTTTGCATTACTTGGGGACGAAAAGGTGTCAATTGGTTACCTTTGCATTACTTGGGGACACATTTGGTACTAGTCCGGCTTATATCTAGTATAGGACTGGTGAAATTGAGTTAAATGGAATTTTCATTGCCAGCGGGCGGTTAGATATTCAATAGAAATAACAACAAATTGTTTTGATCTCCAACTCTCACTGTTGGATCGTTTGTAGCGTCGGTTCTTGTGTGGGTGCGTAGCTGCTTACGCATAGTCATTTCTCTGCCGACGTCGCTTGTGTTTTATTCCTCTTTGTGCCATATCCGTTGTTGGTTCGGCACAGTGGAGTAAAACAGCATAATTTGTGAATTTTTATACCCTCCACCTTGGAAAGGAGGGTATATTAACTTTGTCATTCCGTTTGTAACATCCTTAAATATTCGTCTTAGACCCCATAAAGTATATATATTCATAATCAGCATAAAATTCTAAGTCGATTTAACGATGTCCGTCTGTCTGTCTGTCTGTCTGTCTGTTGAAATCACGATACAGCCCACATTATTTGACGTAGAGCTCCAAAATTTAGCAGAGCTATTTGCATTGTGTCTAGGATGGTTGGTATTGAAAATGAGATATATCGGTCCACGTTCTGGTATAGTCCCCATATAACGGTACCTCCCGATATTCGGTATTTTGATGATTTATGCCACGTTTTTTCACGGATTTGTCTTAAAATTGGTATTTGTAGGTCATAGCAGGTCCTTGAGCGTGTGGCAAAACATTGCATGTATGGGTCCAAAATTTGGTATAGCCCCCATATAACGGTACCTCCAGATATCCGGTAATTTGATGATTTTTGCAACATTTTTTCACGGATTTGTCTGAAAATCGGTATTTGTTGGTCATAATGGGTTCCAGCTCCGGTGGCGAAACATTGCATGTATGGGTCCATGATTTGGTATAGCCCTCATATAACGGTACCTCCCGATATTCGGTATTTTGGTGGTTTTTGCCACATTTTTTCACTGATTTGCCTAAAAATTGGTATTTGTGGGTCATAATGGGTCCTAGTTCGTGTGGCGAAACATTGTAATTATAGGTCCACGTTTTGGTATAGCCCCCATATAACGGGACCTCCCGATATTCGGTAATTTGATGATTTTTGCCACATTTTTTCACGGATTTGTCTGAAATTTGGTATTTGTTGGTCATAATTGGTTCCAGCTTCGGTAGCGAAACATTGCATGCATGGGTCCATTATTTGATATAGCCCCCATATAAAGGTACCTCCCGATATTCGGTATTTTGATGGTTTTTGCCACATTTTTTCACTGATTTGTCTAAAAATTGGTATTTGTGGGCCATAATGGGTCCTAGTTCGTGTGGCGAAACATTGTAATTATAGGTCCACGTTTTGGTGTAGCCCCCATATTACGGTACCTCCCCATAATCGGCATTTTAATGGTTTTTGCCACATTTCTTCTAATGTTTATTTTACCCTAAGGTGGAGGGTATTAAAAGTTTGGCCCGGCCGAACTTAATGTTTTTATACCCTCCACCATACTATGGAGGGTATATTAATTTTGTCATTCCGTTTGTAACTCCTCGAAATATTCATGTCAGACCCAACAAAGTATATATATTCTTGATCAGCGTAAAATTCTAAGACGATTTGGCCATGTCCGTCTGTCTGTCTGTGTGTCTGTCTGTCTGTCTGTCCGTCTGTCTGTCTGTCTGTTGTAATCACGCTATCTATCGAACAAATTGAGATAGAAGGCTAAAATTTTGCACACATGTATTTTTTTCCAGTAGGCAGGTTAAGTTCGTAAATGGGCCATGTAGGTCCAAGTTATCATATAGCCCCCATATAACGGTACCTCCCGATATTCGGTATTTTGATGATTTTAGCGACATTATTCACCGGAATTATTTCAAATTTGGCATTTGAAGTTTGTAATGGATGCTACAGCCTAAGACAGAAAATTATCTGTGTAGGTCCACGTCTTCCTGTAGCCCCCATATAACGGTACCCCCCGATATTCGGTTTTTCGATGATTTTAGCGACATTGTTTACCGGAATCGTTTCAAATTTGGTATTTGAAGTTCGTAATGGATACTACATCCTAAATCAAAAAATGAGCCATGTAGGTCCACGTCTTCATATAGCCCCCATATAACGGTACCCCCCGATATTCGGTATTTTAATGATTTTAGCGACATTATTTACAGGGATTGTTTCAAATTTCGTATGTGAAGTTCGTAATGGATACTTCAGCCCATGCCAGAAAATTGTCTGCGCAGGTCCACGTCTTCGTATAGCCCCCATATAACGGTACCCCCCATATTCGGTATTTTGACGATTTTAGCTACATTATAAACAGATTTTTCTTCAAGTTTCGCATTTAAATATTGTAATAATTTATGACAAAAGTTGCCTATGCAGGCCCACGTCGTCGTATAAGCATTCGGTATTTTTAAGATTTTAACAGAATTTTTAACGGGTTTTATTTTTTGGAAATTGCCAAATTTGTACCAAATGGTGGAGGGTATTAGAAGTTCGGCCCGGCCGAACTTACAGCTTTTTTACTTGTTTTAATTTATTTTAGAAATTATTTTTCGATAATTTTCTGAAATATTTTTGACTAGTAGTAGGGTTTTTGGAATTTTTTGATAAATTCACCCTACATTCGGCATTCTTTGCAGACATATTTAGTGAAACATATTGGTTAAAATTAATAGTTTTTCGGTTAATTTTACAACATTTTTAGATTTTGTTTAACTTCTGCTTGCAATTGCAACTCTACGTAGGGTTTTTGGAATTTTTTTGATAAATTCACCCTACATTCGGCATTCTGTGCATATATTTAAGCAGCACATGTTAGTTGAATCTGTTTGTTTTTGTTTTTACGTAATTGTTTGGGTAAATAAATCACAGTTGTTTACACTATTTGTGACTCTCTGTAGGGTTTTGGGTATTTTTTGGAAGAATACACCCTACTTTCGGCATAATCTTGCAAAAATTGTCAAATTTTGCATAATATATTCTGTAGAACTACACAATTTTGCAGGACTCTTGTAAAAACTTTGACAAAAATCTCGAGTTGGTTGTAAGATTTTTGGAATTGGGACATATGTTGTACAAACCCTTAATTAATTATTAATTACCTTAACTTTGTTAATATTGGAGCAATTTTAGTCTTTTTAAATTTTGTAGTTTTTGCCATATAGGAAAAGTTTTCCTAAATTTTCTCCTATTTATCCTTGTTTTCATTCCCAATTTTACCAAATTCGTGGAGGTTTTTTGAGGGAGCTTTTTATTTCTCGTAGTTGCATTTGTTTGCTTTGTTTTTCCGTCTAATCCACGTAACAGAATGTCGATAACACCAGTTACTCGATTAATTAGAGCTACTAACACTGTTCTCAAGTCTGTTGAATACTTCGAACAGATAAATGAATCCCAGTTTACAGTATTTAATCTTGAAGTCCGTATTTCGGAAATACGAGAATTGTGGGAAAAGGTTTTGTTCACCTACGCTGAGTGTAAAAACTACCTCACGGCATCGGAGACTGCACAGACTGACCATTTTGATGTCGTTGAGGATAAGTACAATAATGCATTTATTGCATATCATTGGTGTTTGACCACCATAAACAAGCATCTTGTCCGCCTTAAATCCCCACTCAATGAAATTGGCTCTCCTGCTGAGGCTCCTCAGTCCTTACCTGCTCCCAGTTCTAACGTACCAAACACAGCTATTTGTAATGAATCTAATAGAACACCACCTTCAAGCTTGCTTTCGAGCGAACCTCTCTTATCGGTTCCTGTGAAGTCTGTTTCTCCACCCGTTGATACTTGTTCCAAATCTTCTGCCACCAATACTTGCTCCAGTCCGCCTTTCGATTGCAATAATTTCGCCCTACCTCCACTTGAAATAGAAGTCTTTGCAGGCGATTTTGTGTCTTGGCCCACGTTTCGGGATTTATTTACCACCCTATTTGTGAAAAATGCACGCCTTTCAGATATTGAAAGGCGTGCATTTAGCTTGGAAAGCTTTGTCGGATGTGTATGATAATAAGCGCATCGTGGTAAATAGTCACATTAAACGTTTATTCGAGCTTCCTACCTTTGAAAAAGAGAATTGCTATTGTTTGAAAATTATTCAAAATGGAATTAATAGTTGTCTTGCTGCAATGGCCGTCTATGACGTCGCCACGGATCAGTGGGATCCAATTATTGTACATATTTGTTTGCAGCGTTTGCCCTTAAACACCTTGACTTTGTGGGAGCAAAGTATCAAAAATAAGTCGTTGTTGCCTTCCTGGCCAGACCTAGATGCTTTTCTCACAGAAAGAATACAAACTTTACAATGTATTCAAAATTTGTGTAAAAATCCATCCACCAACGTTGTTTCTCCCAATTCCTCGTTGTCATCAAAGAATGTTACTTCTAGACCTACAAAGAAATCGTTATTGCCAAAAAGCGTTGAACTTTCTTGCTGCTCCACTAGATCGTTGGCATCAGAGCATGTTTGTACATCTAGTTTCACCATTAAAAAGCCATTGGCACATGGGCCAAAAACTGTGCGTGTCCCTCGGTCTACTAAATCATTGTCGAATAGTAATTGTCCCATTTGTTCTAACCAGAGTCATGTTCTTCGACTCTGCCCAACCTTTATAAATCTTTCGTTTGAGGACAAATTTTCGATTGTCAAGAAGAATAAGTGTTGTATAAATTGCCTATCTCGTGGTCATGCTGTTAAAAATTGTCACAGCACAAATAGTTGCAAATCGTGTAAACAAAGGCATCACAGCCTCCTTCACCGGCCACAAATTACTAGAGTTGTTTCAACATCGCAAAAAGTAGTTTTGAAATCTAAGAAGGTACCTCCGGCTTTTACCAAAGTCAAAAGTCGAGGTCCAAATCCCCCTCCGACTTTTACGAAGGTCAAAAGTCGAGTTCCAAAGCCCTCTAAAACGCACCCTCTCTCTGCAAAAAATAATTCGAACAGCCAGTCTCCCAACACCATTGAAGATAATGTGCTTCTGGGGACTGCACTAGTTAATATGGTTCATAATGGAAAAAGTCATACTGCCCGTGCTATAGTAGACCCTTCTTCTAAGGTATCAATTGTTAGCAAGAAACTCAAAAATGCACTTGG